AGCCCCAGATGGGAATATAGACCTAGCTGAGGACACTGAAGAGTGCCCACCTCCATCCATGGCCTTGGGGCTCACCCAACTTTCCTTCCCTTTGGGGCCCACGTTCAACCATCACTGTCTTTTCCTCTTTTTTTTTTATTTTTATTTTTATTTTTATTTTTTTTTAAAGAGACACCCTCGGTAGTCTTCATGCTGCAACTCTGCCCCCCAGCCCCAGCCAGCCAGGATCACAGGCAGGCGTGCGCACAGAGAGGCCCAGAGACGATCTCCCGTGTGGCCTCGGCGTCATGGAGGCCGGCATTACCTCTGCACCGCCGTGACTGGCCTGACCATTGCCTTTTCACCCTCATCCCACCCCCCCACTCCCCGGCACTTGCAATGGACAGCCTTCCCTCGGCCTCCCTCCAGAGGTTCTGAGCATGGAAGGGGCTTCCTGGAGGGGTGGGAAGGTGGAAAGGGTGGGCAGGTGGCTGACCATCTCGGACTTCAGAGGAACCATGAAAGGCATTTCCCAGGCTGTGCCACCGAAACAGGGAGGTCCCCTCCCCGAACAGCCCAGAGACAAGAGAGCACGTGGGAGTCAGCGAGGGAAGGTCCTACCAGCTGTGACTATCTGCACCTTGAAGAGGCCGGAGTAGAGAAGGCCAGGCCGACGGTGCAGAAACGCCAGGAGGACACCGGTGCCCCTCCTGAACTTAGAAGGACCCCCACAGGTTCCTGGTAGGGCCCAGGCCACAGGACCAGATAGTCTGAGCTGGGGGTCTTCATAGTCTGGCCTATGGCCGCCGGATTCCCCTTCTGAACCAATAGACTCTGTCCCCAGCTGGTTCCCTACAGGAACAGGTGGGCTGTCCCCTGCTAACCAAGGGCCTTCCTCTTCCCCGGCAGCCTCTCCTACCGCACAGTCTCCCTGGACTTGCCGTGACCGAGCCTCATCACAGGCCCAGAGCTCTGCACCCCCGTCTGAGAGAGTCAGAGATGCCAGGAGCTGTGCCGGCCATTGCTGCCTGCTCACAGTGAGTCCAGGGTGGGACCGCGTCACACAGAGCCCCTCGCAGGGCCCATAGACAGAGGCTGCCGTGCAGCCCACCCTCTCCCCTTCTCCCTCTGCCCTGCAGGCCACGGAACTCCACCCTCCACTCTGGCCCTGCCACCCCTGCTGCCCTGGTTCCTGGGTTCTGTGGACTCCTCACGGCCAAGAGCCTGGTGCTGGCCCTGTTGTTCTGGTGAGTGGGGAACGTGCTGGGCTTAGGGCCAATGGACCCCAGAGGAGTCACCATTCCAGAACAGAGGGTCAGAGGGAAAACCAGCCAGAGAACAGCAGGAGAGACTGTAACGAAGAGAGCTCCGGACGCCAGAGCCTCGCCTGGTCTATCTCTGACACCTTCACGCAGATGTCACAGGCCACAGACCCTTGCGCTGTAAGCGCACACGCATATCACGCATGCTTTTCAGTCTCCATGTCCCCTTCTGTCTGCTTGTCTCTGTCTCTGTCTCTCTCTGTATCCCTCTCCTTCCTCTCCCCTCCAACTCCCTCTCATCCTCAACTTCCCCCCCCATTGTGTCTCTATCTCTGACTCTCTCCTCTCTCTTTTTTTTTTTGGAGAGGTTTTTTTTTTTTGCTATAGGGCGCGTGCGCTCGCCAGACAGACAGAGAGAGACAGAGAGATAGAAAGCAGGAAATCACCCCCCAGGGGGGATGGCCACGCCGCAATCCCTTCTCCTCCATTCTCCTCTCGGGATCTTGGGCACGCACGCACACACGCCCGGCGTGAGTTTAAGCCACCGGGTCCGGGACTCGAACCGCGGTCGACTACGTGGGAGTCCAGCGACATAGCCATTACGCTAACTGCTGGTCCCTTCTCTCCTCTCTCTTTATCTCTCTCTCCATCTCTGTCTCTGTCTCTCTCTCTAGCTGTCTCTCTCCCTTCACATCCCACCATCAGTAACACTGTCCTGCACATCCAGGCAGTCCCTCCCATGCCTCTCCCTTCCAGGAACGCCCAGTCCAGGGACTGGTCAAAGCTGTCAAACCAGGGCTCCATCTCCTCCTAAATCCTGAGGGGAGAGGGTGGAGGGAGACAGCCACGGACTCTGGGAGGAAGGGTAGGTGGGCAAAATGTGGGTGGTCTGGGCGACAGGTGCAGGGACAGCTCCAGAAATAGGGGCAGGTCAGGCCAGGTCAGGCCGGGTCAGGCACGCTGGGAGAGCAGAACCAGGCCGAAGAGCAGATCTGAGTCACTTCATGGATTTCGTCCCCCTCCTCACACCCCAGGCTTCAAGGACACAACGAAGCAGCACAGAAGGTGACTTTTGACACCCTGGCCTCGGCCCAGGCCCCGGGGCCCACGGTCACTTCCCACAGGGCCAGAGGTGGATGGCCAGGTCCCCCCAGCCCTGACTCCTAGGACCTTCTCCCTGACCTCTGAACTCTGTGTTCTCTTGGAAAAAGAAAAGGCCAGAGCTTGAGCCAATGCCCTTGCCTACGCTCACTGCAGAACTGGAGGCTTTCCTCCCAGGTGCACTACTTCCCTCGCACTCCCAACACAGCCTCTGCCCACCTGGCCCGAGCCACCAACCATGACCCCTCTGCCCCTCCTCCTCCTCCTGGCTATAGTAACTCCTGATAGAAGAAAAACAACAGACAAAATACATTTCACAGGGTTTAGCTGAGCAAAGAACGAGCCATGAATCTGGTGGTTTCGAGGTTTAGAGAACTCCCTTCTGCAACCTGAGCCTGAATACTGATAGACAGAAATGGACGGGCTGGTCACCCTGAAGTCACTCTCCTGGTAAAGGTTAGAGCAAAGGGACTTCCTTATCACACCAAGAACACGGCCTTTTGTTACCCTTGGGGGTTTGCGTGTTACCTCTCCTATCTCAGAAGTTCAGATAGACGATTTAGTTTGGGCTTGAGGGCTTGAGTGACTCTGTTTTGGTTAGGCCTGTAGGGCCTGGTGCAGGAGCTCCATTCTAACCAATGGCCTCCTATAGAATTTATCTAACACCCGCAGCCAGGGGCCCAGGGCACCCCAGCATTCCTCTCTCGGTCTGTCCTTGGCCAGCCACCTCTGCCAAGGCCTCAGTGTTTCTTCTGCCTCCTCCTCCCTCTCTCCCCTTTCCAAAACCCAACCAGCTTGTCCTGCCCGGACTGCTGTGTTGCCACCTAACTGTCCCACCCAGGCTTGTTCTGTCCCTTTTTCTGCACAGACGGGGTAGGAGTCTCCTCAACACAGCACACGGGGTCACTGGCTTGTCCCCTAGGCACAGCACCCCCCCACCCCCCGCAGGGCCGTTCCCTCTGGCTCCTACCTACTTCCTGACGCAGGACCTGCCCCACGGAGCCTCCACTTCATTCTTCTGCCCCTCCCTGCCATCTGTTTTTCCTCATTCTCACCCTCTGCGAAGGTTCCTCAAGGTTACATTTCAATTCTTCCATTCAAATGTTTGCAACTAAATGTGAGAATATTTTTTCTTCACTTCTAAACTGTCCAGTTTGTTCTCCGAACGTTCCTTTGTAGAGCATGCATATTTTATTTTCCTTAACTCTGAATTTGTTTGAAGTGTTGTGTATCTTCTGTTTCCTCTTAGGGCCTGCTGCATCTTCTGTTTCCTCTTTCTGGCCTCTGTCTTTCTTCAGCATTTTCTGGAAACCTGCTACTTCTCCACAGCGTGTGGCAGTGAAGACTCCAGACACTCACATGCCCCAGAGAGTGGGGGTCTCAAGTTGATTGGAGGGTGTGGCTTCAGGTTTTTTCTCTTCGACAGCTCAGTTTTTCTAGACATGACTCTTCTGTGTTCCTTGGGAGAATAAGCCTGGATCTGGCGTCCTCAGCACCAACTGCAGCAAAGTGAGGGGTCTCTGTTCTCACTCCACCCCGCACACTGCTTCTCATTTCTCTCTCTCTCTCTCGGGCACTCTGAGCAGAGTGCCTCCGTGGTTCACCCCTGCAGAGAATGACCGCAAGTTCTCTGGGTGGAGCGTGAGAGGGAACAGAGGGTGTGGGCAGCTGCCCTTGCTCTCACGGAGGCGGAGAATAGAGTCGTCTGGTTCTTACCGCAGACCTCCCACCCAGACTCTGCTGCCCAGCCCTGTCTCCACCGCTTCTGAGCCTCTTCGGGTTCTCAGGTGAAACCGACTTGCTTCTTATCCCCCCTCTGCCCCCACGCCCACCCTCTCCCCTGGTCTGTGCAGTCACCTGATTGCGGTCCGCAGCTTCAGTTTCGAAGTCCCCTCTTTATCCCTGAGTATGTGATTTTTACCCACTTACTGCCACCTCACTCACCTGGCCTCCACACCTTCTCAGCAAGAGCAAGAAAGGAGCCAGACTTTCAAACCACTCCTCCCCAAGACCCTGCCAAGGCCCAGGTGAGCAAGACCCCAGGCCTCCCCTCCAGTAAAGTCTCCTGACTCCCTCGCCCCCACCTCCCTCAGCGAGTGCCGAGCCCTCAGAGTAGCCTTCTCATGCCCATATCCTGTTCTCTCCCGCACCATAATGCCAGAGCACCTGGTCCTCCTCGTCACCCAGAATCCCATCTCGGGAAGACCGTATAAATGAGCTCCATGTCCCGCTGTCCCCCAAACCGCAAACCTTTCCACTGGGCCCTCCGTGCAGCCCTCTGTTCTCAACGTCACTAAATGACACCTTCTTGCTCGCACTGGAATCTGCCCTTCACTGAGGTCACTGCTTTCTCTGTGGCTCTCTTGAGCGGTGGCTTTAACGCTCCCTCCCACCATGCCCTGGGCCTGGAGGTGGGGCTGGTGTCTCTCTGCTGCTCATTGCCCTCCCCAGCGAGTTCATTTTCTGCCATCAGACCACGCCAGCGTTGTCGACCGCCCATCAGTGGTGCAGGTCCTGTGCAACCTGGCTCCTCCTCACGGGTCGTAACCCCTGACTCGCTGTCACTGTCGCTGCTC